TGGAATCCGATGTAGCAAAAGATTAAAAGTTGGTTGACGGTTGTCGAAGGCTATGCTCGTTGGAGAAGCGATGAAACGCACCCGGTGGTTTTAAGTCGGGCTGCTTTGCTATTAAATAACGTGTAATATTCTCTTTCATTATTAAGTAGAATGGTGTGATAAACGAAAAAGTGCACCAGGAGATTATTTCGTCCTCTTTAATGGAACGTTCTATTGCTGTATCCCTGTCGGTAATCGAAATCCTACTCTTGAGCTACACTGTTCACGGTGATCATCATCTTCAGCTCATGGATACATGAACCAAATCAGAACTTATCTGGTAAGGTCCCAACAACTGCATCGATTCTAGGGTCTGCCTACTGCTATACCTATATACTGAAGGTGATGACCGTCCACAGTGTCTCTCAAAGTCAAGGCATTCGGTCGCCAACCTAAACGTTCGTGGTTCGGGTCCCAACCGGGCAACAATAATCCTACGCATTGTTAATAAATTCCAACAGAGACCAAACGATTATCAGGTAATTTTTTTACCCCCATTGTTGCATTAACATGTGGGGTGTTTACGAACTCCCAAGGGGTGAAGACCACATGGAACAACATCACTCAGATTCTGCTGAACACTACAATTTTTTGAGTTTATTTCTGTTTCTGTTTTAATCTAAGTTCATTGAATTTACTATCTTCCTTGATCCAAATGGTCTCAGGTTTGAAAGCCCTAAGATGTAATTCGCACGGTAGCAAACTATGTTGACAAACTGTGCCTCTCCTATTCTCCATTTAGTGAACGTGCAAGAACAGCAAACAACGAGGGAGGTTTTCTCTACTCGCTATTCTCCTCTCTATTGCCGGACGATTCGTTGCAGCGCGCCATGCAACAGTTTATCCAACCGAATAACGAAAATGAGCCAGGCGCCACCGGTGAACAGACTTTGGGCTTGGCTGCAGAACGACTCGCTGCTTCGTTACGCCGAGTGCTGGATCATATCGATCCGCGGCGTGCTTGGAACACGACCGCCACCGATGGTACCGAGCAACAACAACAACAAGCACATGAAGAACCTCCCCAGGAGAGTTAGGGATTGCGCCAAAGCTGATAATCGAATCGTTCTATCTTGTTCCAAAAAGTCTTTCCGCTACTACTTAACGATCACATCTGATCAAATGAAATGAAAATGCACCTCCCCACTCATACGTTCCCTGGTTTGTGATCTGTGTTCTCAAACATCATGAATCAAAATCAAAACGGTATCTGAAATGCAGTTTCCTGTATGCATTGTGAATATGATAACCAGTTGTTGTGAAATAATGCTTTATGGAATAACACTTCGATTGTCAGTTATGGGTCAGTGTATTTAGGATTAAATCGCCGCGGAAATTAAAATCAAATGTGCAGGATAAAACACAATTTATAGGAGGTATATAAACAGGAATGCATGAATATAGAGCTAAAGCATCGTAATGTCAGTTCATCCCCTAGACTTTGGACTAATTATTTTTTACCGTCAAACTTAACGAACGGCAAACGCAGTGAACACCCATTCACGAAAACCTGCTGTTCAGTATTGCGAATCGGCAACCTAAGCCGCGAGCTTTGCAGTTTAGAACCGCATAAGTCTTCACTAGGTCGGGTGTGGTATCGAACCGGACAACAGCAAAACTGCCTACCACCGAATTTGGGTTTGAACATCGGACCATAGGGTCCAAAGCAAACCGGTAACAGCACCACCAACTTTGGTATGTTTTTGCAATACAAACTTCCATGATTTTAGCCATGGACCACAGTAGTTTCTAGCCAGTATTATGCTGGATTAAGTAGTCCCCACCCTAATTGTCTTTGCCCTTTCAAGAAGTCATGCGTTTATCACTGGTAACAGTCCCCAAGTCAACGCACCACTGAGTGTGAATCACATCTATCCTGCCAAAATGCAGCTTCTGATCATTCAGTGACTAACCAATATTGTCTAACATTGTGCACCCAAATTTAACATTATTTGAAAAACAGTACAACTAAAGTAACCAAACCGATACACAAAAGATCTCCACATCTAAGAACCCCGTCCCCAAAAGGACTGGCCGAACTGCTACTAAATGCAATCTCATTACAATGGATGAACAGCTATCTAATGGTCGTTTCNTTCACAACTCAGCTTGATGCACCTAGAATGAGCTTTTCTTACACCTAATGATATCCTATCGGAAATCTGTCCACTTGAGGAAACTTATTGACCCAAGTGATAAAATAACTTGCTTGATTATTTCCCGTGTTAGTATTAGATTAAAGATTACATCGGTGCTGTCTCATATTTGTAAATAGTACTTTGAGTCGCAAAGTACATGATACGCATTTAACTGCTTTTGCTTCAAATAGAAACAAGAGTTCACAACATTTGCGGGTCTTCCTTTAAAAGCACATGATCAAGGTAATTCCGTCTTGCTTACTATCAATTTACTCTTGACAGTCCACTTAGCATAATCCTGGTGATCAAGGTATTTACTTTTAATCTATTTTGTAAGCAACTTTGTGTATCTATTCGTCAAATTTGACCCCATTAATCCGAATGGATGGCGACAGTTAATTTGATCCTCGGGTCTCATGTGACTTCAGTTAAACCGTCTTAAAGAATACCTTCACTGCTTATGGAAGACTGCCATCAACTGCGTCGTTTCTATTGCAGTATTCTCGGATAACTATTTTGTCCAATAAGGATAGATTCGAGAAAATCAAAATAATCCTTATACCTACATCAGTTTCGTTAGAGTGATTGGTAGTGCAACATTACATTATACACGTATCGGACAATGTCGTTGTAACACAACTAGTGAATAGTGCCGAAAGATATAATTATGTAATGAAGTTCCGTCGCACCTCGCATTATATAAGGGAACGAAACCATACTACTCACCAGAAGTTTGCCAGAGGCAAACAGTATCTCGGAAGCTTTGAATTGGATACAACCGAACAGCAGTTTGACAATTGAATCAATCTATTTGGTGACATGTGTAAGACACCCGCCCAAAGTATTCTACGAAGGTCGAGCACTTACTCTAATGGACGCTCGTGATTGCCTTCAAACTCTGCACCTAAGCTCAGCTTTGCTTGTTCCTGGTTTCCTCAACAAACTCGTTGGTTGCATTGCAGATAGCGGTGTGTCAACGAAAGGGTCTTTATGTAACACTGTTTGTCTGGGTATGGGTCTTTTCGTCTATTTTTGATCTTTATTCTTTCACGTCAATCTTCTTATGATCGTAACTTTACTGCATTACGCACCGATGGAAATGCATCAAAATCGTCCTCGATGTAAATCGTGCAGTGTTATATTGCTGAATACCCTTTCACTAGACGGGTTCCTCATACAGAATAAACGTAATAATCACTTGAGAAAAACCCTAGAACCACTGCTTCAGCCTTGCTGGATATTATCAATAAAATCTATCCATCGAGTCAGTCTGGAGTTAAACTGTCCGTAGGGTTTGTTAACGCGACTTGCTTACCTGTGACGCTTGATGGGCTGACTCCCAACAGCTTTACATGATCAATGGCTTATTAGTTACCGTCTGCTTTTGTTTTCTTACATCCGAGAAAAATTTTGAGCGCTTCATATTGCATACCAAATCGAAAGTGTCCATCGGTTTTGGATGCTCTCGCGCAGACAAAACCGCACCAATTCTCTATGAGCATTGACCGGGCTTGTCTGATTCGAATTCAAGCAATGGAAGAGCGATATTGTTTTCATGTAAAAAATTGGCACCTTCTGACATGCTGTAGTTTCCAGTTGCTTCCGAAAATCAGTGTAACTACTTCCATAAGGTTGAATAACAGATAAAGCAACGTCAACGAAAACTGTGATGTTTATCAGGTTCTCAGTCCTATTTAACCGGCATGAATAAAAGTTTGTTGAATGAATGACTGAACACAGTGGATAAATTCACCAAAATAATCGACGGGCGGTTGTGTTTCGTCCAATCGCGGTCTCGTGATGAACCAAATCATTCGAACGCGGTTTGCCGGCTATCACCTGGCTCCATCACAGCAGCGTGCGGTGCCGGAGAGGGAAAACAGAACGCAATCAAATAACCGATTCAAAAACGGTTTTAATGAAGTGTTGTCCACGACAAAAACTGGATCAATTGACAGTTGAGGATCAGCTTGATAACTATCAGGCCAATTGATTAACGCCGAGGTCAATGTGATTGAGAGGACGCAAGCGGTCGATTGCAGTCTTCGAGCAGAGCTATATAAGCCCGGTCGTGCTTTTAGTTGGTGCTAGCTCGAAGTTGCACTGATGATGGCTATGAAAAGTTTGCAAACAACTTTTCCGATTTTTGAGGACTGCCCACTCAGAATATGTTCATTCTGTGCTACCAACACTCAACATTTTCTCCAACTTGTATTTTAATTTTCGGCACCGTGAACGATAAGTTAACTGTTTCGGGGAGGGGTTATCCAGTCCCCATTTCTCAACCGGAAGCTGGACCCCAATTACTAAAAAAAACTCTGCCCTTCATTTATCGCTACACATAAATGTGTAACAAAACTTGGAAGTCTAACTTCTCTGCTGTGTGCATGTCGCCTTTTGATGGATCTCAGTCAGCCTCTTGAAGCTCAATTATCTGTTGAGTCATTATTATTGTATAGAACGTAACACATTCAGAGAGCGTGGAGTGAGATCGAAATTCAATGAGAACGGTCTGCGAGTGATTCAAGTTTTAGGGATACAAAATCCGTGTAGTTTTATCGTATTGTCAGCTTCGTTTCCTATCTAGCATTGGATGTAAATGATGAACCAAGAAGTTGAAGGTGCCCCAGTTTGACCGATTATGCAACTTGACGTTTGTTTTCCGATTTAATATAGCGTAATTTGATACACCGCATTTTTTGCCTTGGGTGTTTTTAGTGAGAATTTAGACTGGAGAGTCAGACTCAAAGTTCTGATCCAGCGCCATTGGGCACGGATCCAATCCTGGGATGAGAACACTTTCAAGCCGTTTATATTTTGGTTGTTCTTCACGATGCGTTATTTATTGATTCATTGGTTGTTTGGGCCTCATTTTCATCGAACAGAACAAGGTCTTACTCGCTATAAAACTTGCCCGTTTGTGGCAGATTAGAGCTGCTCAGTGACTCTCTCGATGCCGAGAGGAGTCGATGGGGTCCCAGTTCTTGTGTGCATCCAGGGAAGGTTCTGATCGGTAGTCCGCCAACGTCCCGAATTCAAATAGCTGTAACTTCCCTCTGTCTGTCACTACTGCCGACTTTTAGACCGCTGACAATATGCAAGTTCGAGACCCCAGACATAACACTTCACCTGGTATTAATATGAACTCGACTTGATGGGTATTTTGTCCTGCCTCTCTTTGTTGATCCGCACACTCGCACTCCTGGTGAATGGACCAAGGTTGTACTACCGGTTTTGAAACCCCTTTGGCACAGAAAATGGTACAGTTATGGAATATACCTTCACTATGCACTTCACTTAACGCTCGTAAAAACAACAGCAATCCTGTTCCTCCTCGAGGTTGCTACTGTCTCCTCTGTACCATTCATTGCATGGGTTTCTTTTACAATGACTTACAGAATAAAGTTGCAAAGGCAGAAAAAGATTAACTCACCGTAACTCCAGTCCAGGTTGCAGCAGCTGTTCAACTCGGCTTTTTAAACAAACAGCTAATCATTTTGAATTTGCCTGTACGAACCGAAAAATGGGAACGGTAATAAGAAGACATAAATCCGCGCACTGAACTGTATGAGGCCCCTAACCGAGAAAACTTAAGTGAATGATTTCAATAATGAAAGTTTGCATATCTTTACGATACTGTTTATGGGACAATACATCTCGCCGCGGTAGTAATAATGCATCAAGGAAACCACGCCATGGTCCATACCTTGAATATCGTCATAACACCTCAGAGGTTTTCCCCAGTCTCGACGCGTGTAGCATAAAAACGTCTGTGTTTAACAGGTGCGTTGATCGCCGGTCATTATTATCAGCATTCGAAGTCGATCAGTTTGTCTTAGTGTATTTCATCAATGAACTAGACCAAATGAGTGTGAGTAACCATCTTGGTTGAGGTCAGC